CCCCCCCACCACAGCGCACCACCTCCTCCCTGCAGGCGCAGGCCCTGTCCCCCGACTCCCTGTACACCGCCAAGCTGGTTGCCTACACCGAGGAGGAGGAGGAGGAGAGCCCCGCAGGTCAGGATGAGTGCTCCCGCTCCAGGACGTCTCGCGGGCACCTTAAGCCGCGCCCGGCCTCCGATGGCATCTTTCTCTCCAACTCCTTCCAGCCGCCCTCGGCCAGTGCCAACAGTACTGCCCTCAGAGCAGGCCAGCCCCCGCCCCCTCCAAAGCCAGCAGGCTTCTACCATCTCGGCCACTCCAGGGCTAGAGGTAAAGGGCAGAGCTGCCAGGCCTCCCTCCTGTCTTGCTGATTGGACCTTGGCATCTGCACACTGCGCGCTGGAGTATGGTCCGTCTCGGCCAGTCGCTGGGAGTCTGAATCGAGCTGATCGGTGGGCTCAGCATGGGGACCTCCCTCTGCCTCGATCGCAGTGTCTGCTAGTCTCCCCCGTGATTCGCACTCTGAACCCCCTCTCTCACCCCCACAGCAATCAGGCCTCCTCCCTCCTCGGGCGTGAAGTACTGTTGGTCTTGCCTTCATTCTCTGCCTCTTCAAGTAATTGCTTGTTTGGTTGGACATGTGCCCTTTCCCCACTCTTGGTGTCTAGAGATAAGGTTCTGCTTATTAACAGCCATGGGACACACTAGCTTTCTGCTGTTTTAACGGACGCAGGGCTCTCTGCTCTGGGCCACATGCCTCTGGGGGCGCAGCAGAGACCCGAGCAGTGGCCGAGTGCCAGGGCCCAAGACCAGGTCACTGCCTCTCATTGTCCTACCTCCTCCGAGCTCCGCGGCGCAGGCAGCAGACCTCGTGGGCACACGCTGGCCTGGGGTCCTGCCTGTGCCAGGAGCAGGGTCGCTGGTGCACATTCGGGGAACACGGCTGAGGCAGCACTGAGAGTTGAATTTAAACTAGAGATTCTAAGGCCTTGTCACGGGCAGAAGACTTTTTAAGTGGGATTCTTCCCTACTGAGTGACAACTCATAGACAGACGTCAGCACCGCTGTCAACGTGTTATGACTTTAATGATCGATCATTGGGCAAGATGAGCTCACTCGGATGCCTTTCAACCTTTTGTCTGCATCCTCTCTGTGGGTCTTCACAGCCCTGGGCGCAGAGGGCAGGTCGGCTGTGTTCACACAGGCGGCGATTTTGTGCCTGTGGACTAGTATCCACGCCAGGGACCTTGGTAGCCCATTTGTTTAAAACATTTTGTTTAATAATTACAGCCA